CAATACCGTAAGCTTATGATGTTGCAGTTGTTGAGTGACCTGATAGATGATCACAAGTCAGCCATCAGATCTGACAATAATGTGTATGTATGGTCTATAATGTCTTATGTATATATTGGGTTTTATACATAACCCAGTTCTGTAATGGCATATTAAAATTAATTTTGAGCAATTTAAAGCAGAAAAATGGTTGCCATTCAGCCATCTTTAATCAGATCAAAAAATGGATGTGCAGATTTATCGCAAAATGTACTGGGGTATGTGTGAAGTTTGAATGTCTGACATAAAATTGGAGATGAACAGATAGATGACAATCCATAAGAACCTCTTTTCAGAGGTGATAACAATGATCAGATTGCTAATCAACTTAACCTACCATTCTCTGGACTATTTTCATCAACTACAACCACCATGTGGGTAAGAGAGTTCACTTGCACTTGAACTTGCACCAATTCTTCTTGTAGGTCCTTAGAATGTAGAATACAAATTTGAAAAGGGTTAGGGCACATGTGACTGCTACTGTACATGTGACTGCTACCATGGAAGGTACTAATGGAAGGAGCCATGACGCTATTGTTTTAGCTTTACCCTATGATAGTTTGTCAGTGTTTGTTCACAAACAATGTTCTTGTTAGTTTTTAGCACCTTCGTACAATGGGTTACGCCAATCTCAAGCATTCGGTAATATTCGGAGCATATTCGGAGCATGTTCGGAAGCGATAGTCGAACCTGCATATACAATATTGAAAATGGCGTCTAGTTTGAATATAACATTGATTGAAGAAGAACTGATGAAATATCATGAATTTTGTATTTGTAATGATAATAAAACTTAATCAATGATTGCTTGTGACGATTGCATTATTCAATGGTATCATTGTCATGCGTGGGTTTGGAGCCCAAAACTGTCGAAATTTTTGACCACCGGACATCGGCGAACACCAATAGCAAAGATAGTATCGAAAGAAGAGCATGCCTGGATACTTTCTCTGTGATAATATTTTTTCGGAGTCCTTAGGAATTGTTGTTGAAGCCTCTGAAAATTTTGTTCTAGTTACAGTTGCTAATAATTAAAACATAAGAAATTTGTGAAGTCAAACGTTCATCTGTTAAATTTCCGGTTGTGAAATATACGTATTTTAACCTTTCACACCTAAACAAACCCAGTGCGCATGTGTGATAACTGTTGTTTCATATTGCGCATATATTTTGTCACATTAAAAAAATGGCGGGGTTGTATCATACTCAGCTAACTCGTTACTTGTGTAAACAATCGCAGGATTAATTTGGGTTGAAACAAAAGGAAACAAGCCATGCATGGCACAGTCCCCGTTAGTTATCAAATTTAAAATATATAGTTTTGTTTATAGTAATATAGCTGGAATATAACCATGTCAGGAATATGATTTTTTAGCATTAAAATGATTGACATTTGTATCTGATTGTCAAACAAGTACTTGTCCATATTGAGAGATATTGCTCTGGAACAGCATTCAAAATCAGCCATTATGAATACATGTATATATATATAACATGATGTATAACG